GATACTTAGCACTTTTTTGTGCCTATTTGAGTTCCGTTTCCCGCAATTTGCGGTCGCGAACTGTGCCTTTAAGAATCCCAGGACAGCGCTCTCTTTTGGATGGCTAACGCAGTAGAACATTTTCCCCCGGGAAATTAGTATTTGCACATAGGTGGGGCCAGACCAAGACGCGAGCTCCAAGATCCTGAGACCTCGGGACGGCGATGCCGTAGTCTCAAGCATCTTACAGATTCTGAAGTATGGCAATGGACCAGGACCAACGTAGAAGGCAATGGCAAGGGCGCTCTTTCAGTGGAACGGTTCTGGCCCTGTGTTACCAAACTTCCTACTAAATAAGGGACGATTACTTGATAAAGGTCATGTGCGCCGGGAAGACCATAATATTCAGGGAAGTGGATCTCGTCTCCTATAGATTTACTATGGCTTCATAAGTCTTCCTTCTGCCAAATTCGCCCTCACTTACCTCATCACATCAGTTCGAACTAGTCGACAAGGCAATAGGCCATCACGATGAAAAGATAGAGTTTCCGCTGGTGATCAATCCTTTTTTGGGACAGGGTACAGCATGGGGATGTGCGAAATGGCGGTGTGAGTACGACCCCCCCTCGAAGAGGGTCCCTCCCCCTCCTCCCGTCTTGGGACAGCTAATCCGTTTTTTTCTCTGAGTCTCGTTCTCGAGGTCAGACGCAGACGGAGAGCACGCTGCGGTCAGACACGCAGAGAGTGAGAGTGACTCATCCACTCGAAGAACACTCTCCCAGCTGGTGCACTTGGCAGAGGGTGGAACGCATTGCACATGAACAAACATGATTTTTTTTTGGCATTTCGGCATGGTGGGACCGCGAAAAACATTGAGGGGGAAAAGCTAAAATCGAAACGAGTCCAGCGTTAGCTATCAACACCTCCACCTGGGGAATGATACTGAAAACATTGAGAGGAAAAAAACTCTTGTAACACTTCATTGACAACCCATAAGTCATCGGTTCTGTAAGACTTATATGTCGCTTTTTTAGACAAATCCCTTCCAACATTGAG